TAAAAAAACTTAAACATATATATTTTGTAAATTCTTTTTTTTTTTCAAGTTTTTACAGAATATATATTTTTCAGTTTTGAAAGCATTTTTTTCAGTTTTTACAAAAAAAATACTTTAAAAAAACTGAAAAGACTTAAAAATATATATTTTGCAATTTTTTTTCCAGTTTTTACAAAAAAAATACTTTAAAAAAACTGAAAAGACTTAAAAATATATATTTTGCAATTTTTTTTCCAGTTTTTACAATTTGTTTTTCACTTTTTACAAAATATATGCTTTATAAAAACTGAATTTTAAAACGGGTCGGGTGGTGAATTTTTTAAAACGGATCGGATAAGAAAAAAAGAAATGAGTCGTTTTCATCTGGTGTTGATACGTGGCACTACATCCAAAATAAGGGTATATTTGTTCCAAAGTATGACGGGAAGGGTATATATAGCTCAATAGTATAACAAGAGATATTTTTAGACCATTTTCAAAAGTACATAGGTATATTTGACAGATGCATTTGATTAAAGGTGGAGGGATCTATTTATCCGCCACATCCCTACAAGAGAGTTTTAATCTTCACTATTATGGGTACAAAAATATCAAGTAAACAATCCAAGGCAGGGCCTAAGGACTTTGAATTTGGATTACACATTCTCCTCCACATCCCTCTTCTCTCATCTTTTTCATGCCATCATCCTGCTGCCACGTGTCATATCAATATCCAAACTGCAATAAATCACAACCAAAGCTTTTCCCATTCCTTTATCCATCACAAACATCATCATCTTGAATCCTTGTAACAGAAAAGAGTTCAAGAAAAAGAATAATTCTTTTAAAAAAATATATATATATTCTACATGGGACTCACAATTACAATTACATCCCTGGACAAGCTTTCCAATTACAATCATGTCCTCTCCATTCCTGCCCTTTGAATTACCTCCAAATTTAATTTGTCCAAAACTAAGGGTAGTCACAAAGACATGGTTTAACATAAGCAGATTCAAGATTTAAATTTTATGGGTTTAACTTAATGTTCTTAGCATTTAATCGATTATATTAAAAAAATTATGGGTTCATATATACTATTTATTATAATTTTAATAAATTTTTACATATAAATTTATATTTTTCGATGAAAATACTGAGTTTAAATGAACCCAATACCTCAAAACTCCACTCGCCCTTGGTGACACTATCAGCATTTCCTCTCATCAAATCAATACAATTTCTTATCCAAACAAAACTGCCACTTGTTTTTCTCTAACCATAACCATACCCTTTGCTTACAAGTTTTTGTACCTCACATATTTTCCTAATGCCAAGACAAAATATCCTCAAAGGCAGAAAAAGGGAAAAAAAAAAGAAATTGATCAATGCCCATTCATTCATTACATGTCACCCCTTAAACTTTAGCTCATCAGATAGTCAGAGAGAAGGGAGAGCACTCCATAATTCTATCTCTTTCTCTCTGGAAAAAAGAAAAAACCTCTCAAGAATCTGAGAGGAAAAAAATCAAGAAAATATGGCAGTGAGTACAGTGTACACAGCTCAATCACTGAACTCTACTTGTTCAATCTCCACACCCTCAAAATCCCACTTAGGATTTCACCAAAAACAAGTGATTTTCTACACCAAATTAAGAACCAACAGAAGAAGCAGTAGCACTAGTGTAATAACATGTTCATCAGCTGATGAAAAGACAGTGGTGATTGGTTTAGCAGCTGATTCTGGCTGTGGAAAAAGTACTTTCATGAGGAGATTAACAAGTGTATTTGGTGGTGCTGCTGAGCCACCAAAAGGTGGAAATCCAGATTCAAACACATTAATCTCAGACATGACTACTGTGATTTGTCTTGATGATTATCACTCACTTGATAGAACTGGAAGGAAGGAGAAAGGAGTTACTGCTCTTGATCCTAGAGCTAATGATTTTGACCTTATGTATGAGCAAGTTAAGGCTATTAAGGAAGGTATTGCTGTGGAGAAGCCTATTTATAACCATGTTAGTGGTCTTCTTGACCCCCCAGAACTCATTAAACCTCCCAAGATTCTTGTTATTGAAGGATTACACCCCATGTAAGTACTATTTATTACTCTCCCTCTCCGTTTCATTTTATATATTATTTGGCGGACATGTAGTTTAAGCTGAAAGGAATATTCCGACACATACCAAAAGTACTCATATATACAACTAATTGTGAGTTTAAACAAAGTAGGTTATTTTTCTATGACTATAAGAATACTATCATTAAAGATAAAATGAAAAGTAAAATAAACAAGTTCTAAATATAAAAAAGGTATATTTTTCTTGGAACATAATGACGTATTATATTACTGTGAAATTCTTGAAGAAATGCAAAGATATTTTCTCTTTGTAACGTTAACACACTCATGCAAACAGTTGACACATTAAAAGCCTTGGTTCCTCCATAATCTTTAGTTCTTCTTGTCTTTTGTGTAACTAAACTTCACCTCCTTTTCCACAGCAAAATAGACCCAAAAAAAAAAAGGTCATGATAATTGTGAAGAGAATTCTCTTGTAATGACACGCGCTCTTTGTCTCCTTTTTTAATTCTCTAATAATGTTTTTCCTTTTATTTATTAAGCCAAGAGAAAAGGAGAATGTAAGTTGAGTTTATCATTTGTTCGTTTGTAAAATAAGCTATGAAAGAAATGGACGGTTATTTATGAGGATAAATGCTTCCTCCGTTGAGAGATCGATAATTCGATATGATGCTATCAAAATGTATGGTTGAGGAGTTAACGTTATCTTTATGTTATCACTTCTCATGATGGGCCTCTATAATCATTTGGGCCCATTCCATTCCTCATTTAATTGTTTTTTTTAAAAAAAAAAAAAAGAAGTTTGGTATTGCAATATTTTGCATAAAATTACCAGTACAAGTTTCCTTACTAAGGAACTCTATAACTCTTGGAGTGGGGAATCATTCTTTTTGTTAGTTTTGCTGGTGGTTTCAGCCGGCTAGAAGGAAATACTAACGTTGAAGCACACATTCAACTTTGATAAATACTTGCTCAGATCCGTGTGGTTATACCATGTGAAACAATTTAATTTTAACAGTTAATAATTAAAGTAGCAAATATAAATCACTTAACCATAGTTTAATGATAAATATCGTGTACGAATGACATATGTAAGTTACTTAACCATGATTAAGTGATAAATATGTGTGTAAAAAGACATGTCTTTCTTATATTAAATTAGCTCGATGTAAATACTGGACACAAATAAATTTTTACCTATACTTCATACTATGGTGCTTGAAATTCACTGGCCTCAACATCATTTATTGAAACAGTGAAGAAAATAGATTGGCTACAATTATCAGGGCAGTCGTCTTACTATACTTACCTTGTCGTTTAAGCTAATTAATCTGTACAGCTTCTGTAAAATTTTTCAATCTTGAATCTGACAATATAATCTAAAATTTTGACATTTTTTTCTTCTTTTTCTATGATATATAGGTACGATGAGCGTGTGAGAGAGCTCTTGGACTTCAGCATCTACTTGGATATCAGCAATGAGGTTAAGTTCGCTTGGAAGATTCAGGTAACTTAATGCTGTACAACTTCTATTTCTAAAGTAACAAAATTTGGTCCCCTGGGGGTGGCTTATTCAATTAAAGTAATTGAACTATATATGTGTAAAAAATATCCATCATTGGACAAAGTAGTTGCGAAGTTGAGAGACTATTGAAATTAAGTCTGGAAAGATGAATCTAAGTGTATTTTTTCTTGAAAATGAATGCAGAGGGATATGGCTGAGAGAGGGCACAGCCTTGAGAGCATTAAGGCCAGTATTGAAGCCAGGAAGCCAGATTTTGATGCTTATATTGGTGCACTACTTAGTTTGCCTTGATATTAGCATAGTCGTAATTATTCAGAATGAAGATTAATAAAATTGTCTGTGGTGCAGACCCACAAAAGCAATATGCAGATGCAGTAATTGAAGTGCTCCCAACTCAGCTGATCCCAGATGACAATGAAGGCAAAGTTTTGAGAGTGAGATTGATAATGAAGGAAGGAGTGAACAACTTCAACCCGGTTTACCTGTTTGATGAAGGCTCCACCATCTCATGGATTCCTTGTGGTAGGAAGTTGACTTGTTCTTACCCTGGCATCAACTTCTCATATGGCCCTGACACCTACTTTGGCAATGAGGTACCTATATTCTTTTCCAACCTGCCAACAATCACTAATTATGTCTTGTAGTTTTGCATTGAGTATTAAGAATATGCTGAATTTAGACTCAACCCGAGGAACTCAATTGCCAGGATCTTAGCTGCTGATTACTAGTCTGGCTGGAAAATTTAGCTATGTATTCTGAGGATTCAACATAAATTAACTAGTTTTACGCTCCTTTATTCGGGGTTGGCACCAGCAATATGAGCAAGCTCACATCCGGTGAAATTAGGCTGGAAAATTTAGTTATACAATCTAATATGTATAGATTAAAAAATAAAGACCAAAAGAACAACTTTAAGCTTCTTTTTGGTACTTCCCAAATGATATTTAAAGACAACATGCTAGAAATTACCTGGCCAACGCAGAAAGTAGGTCTGTACCATTGCTCAGCTATTCTTCCAGAAATCATGCCTGATTTTCATCATCTGCTTTTCTTCCAACTTACAGGTATCTGTCTTGGAGATGGACGGGCAATTTGACAGACTGGATGAGCTCATCTATGTAGAGAGCCATTTGAGCAACCTCTCCACCAAATTTTATGGTGAAGTTACTCAACAAATGTTGAAGCATGCTGATTTCCCTGGTAGCAACAATGGAACAGGTTTCTTCCAGACCATTGTCGGTTTGAAGATCAGAGACCTCTATGAGCAAATCGTTGCCAGCAGAGCTGCAACTCCAGTTCAAGCTGCAAAGGCCTAAACTTTGCCAAACTCTATTAACAGCTAGGCACCAGAATCATCTGTTGTACCTTGTTGTTTCACTCCTCTTCCCTAAAAATTTTTATTTGCCGACTTCTTTTCCCCACTTTCATGTTTCAGTTTCATGGTAGATAATTCCCCATAAATGAGAAGATACACTTGATTATGTATTTATATCTAGCTGGAAATGTGTTGAGAGTTGTAACATGGATAATAAGAAGGAGTAATTAAGTGAAACAAATCAAGGCAAGCTATCAACCTTTTGGGCTGATGTTTTTCACTTGATCATCATTTGGTTTTGGAAACACATGAAATATTGAAAACAAGGCCATAATTTCAAGCCAAGCAGTTTCTGCACTATCTACTCGGAGGTAAGCTACTGGACAATAATTAAGATCGAAACCACCAAAAATCAGGAAATTTCACTGTCACTGCTGAGACATAAACAGAACATTTCATGCTAAACGTTGAGAATAAACAGAACATATCGTGAGTTTCAAAATGCCATACTTTTGGTAGAAAGGATAAAGCATCACAAAGACTAATATCGAGAAGCATGATGATATTACTAGAATTCACCAGCATTAAATTAAACATATTAACAACCTACTATTCAAGGTACCTACGGAGGAAACAACAGTAGGAGAGCAAAACTATATATACAGGTTGATGCATACGTTTCAGTCAACTCTACTCATGTTTACTTTATAGTAATAAACTTGTTACTACCATGTTTAGCCCAATGGTTCTTCAGGTCAACTGGATTAGAAAGATCACGCCCTTGAGCAGCAAGTCTAAGAAGAAGTTTAGTGTATGCTCCATTAGTCATTTTCCTCCCACCGAGACGATTCCCAGGCTTTGAGGGATTCATTGGGAGGGGATACTCAGATAAGGTGGTGGTACAACATGATGATTGCCAACCATAAACTCCACATTTGTAGCACCTTCTAGCAACACCTGTACAGGAACAAAATGGTGGTGGCACGCCACAAAAATCAGCAATAACTGAATTTGGATTCTTTGTTACCGTGGCCTCTCCACATCTAGATTCTCCTTTGGTTCTTTTAGAGGCAGAAGGCTTATTTTCAGGCTGTTCCACTTTAAAAAGTTTCGATGCAATTTCACGCAATTCCTTTGCAGACATCTTGTTTTTCTTAACCTTCTGCCGTTTGGCCTTGACCTTGACATTCATGTGTTGTTCACCTGTAGGGGCAACAGAACGAATGGGAACAGCAGCATAAGGTTTTGATTTGGAACCATCTTTTGTTGCAGGGAAACGATTATCTTGATGAGTCCATGGAAAATGTGAATCAAATGTCTCTACTTTGTGGTTAACTTGAGATGCCATTGGGTAGCTCCCCGGACGAGGTCCCATCTTCACTGAGTCGGACACACGTAATTCCAACGGGACATGTTGAAAACATTATAGGTTAAAGTCATTCAGCAAATTGCAGTAACTATAGTAGCTAATTATATTCCAATAACTTTGTTATTAGAGCTAAACTTTTGTTTTCGAGCATTCAAAGGAACAACATCCATAAACAGAATAACCAGTAGCTTGGAAACTGACATCAAGATAAATAAATGTGACTGCAGGAAGTGCCATCCAAATTTTGGATTCCAAAAGAAAAACAAGTACACATGCTCTGTTTAATACAGACCAAAAACTGATCTTACAGAAAAATTATAGCCCCATCATAATGTGCATAATTAACATTTGAATAAGTTGCTCCAAATACTCTTGTAATATGATTTAGTTACAGATACACCTCCTATATTCCAAATCAAACACGAACCCTCATATAATGAAAAATCCTACACAAACGTTAAATTTTGTATAATTTCAACTTTATAAGGTGTTAAGTGTTTGGTTTTGAAAAACACTAGGTATTCCGTTACTAAGTAAATCAAAATAGATTAAAGTGAAACAATCAAAAGGAAAATTGAAATTAATAATGAAAAATTTCCAAATGTATTAGTAAATTCTATGAAACTTTAGAAAAAGGAATATACTTTTTCTCCTCACTTGTCTAATATTATTTATTTGAAATCTTACTAGAGCTGCTTAAACTCAATACTCTACCATATTTTCTTTCACATTTTAAAGCGGTAAGAAAGTTTCAAATGTTTAAAAATGAAAAAAATATATTCTTAAACGGTTCAATGAACACTTTTAAACAGAATTAGGATATTCATATTTCAACACTGTTAAACAGGAATAAGAACAAATGGCTTTATAACAATTTGTATATTAATTAATTACGGATATATTCGTGTATTTCAAAATCAAACACTTGATCCCCCATACAATGAAAATATTGCATAATATTCTGTATAAAATTGCTATCATTTAACCGTTCTGCATAAAAACGTATGGGTAAATGGAATGTAAATATCTGTATATATAGGGAGAACTCCCAATGGAGACAAAAATAGTAGGTTATTTCTTCTTATTTTGTCTAAAGTTTTGGTGGACTCAGTTATTCCTTATATGTGTGGGTGGGAGTTAGCAGATACAAATGAAATTAGTTGAGATGCGCAAAGTATATGAAAATTAAAACACCACCCTATAACTGAGTTTATATTATACAGGAGTGTTTAGATTAACTTAATTTTAATGTTTAAAGTGTTCAATGGATAAACTTAACATCTATATAGAGAGAGAAAAAGTGTATAAATTTCCAACAATGAAATGCAGCCAGTAAGTTAAAACACAAACACAAACATACATACATACACATCTGGAGATTCAAAGAGAAAAGAAGCCCTACTTTGTAATATATAAATCAGATTATGCACAGTAGCTGAAGTAATAAAAGAGAAAAGGAAAGAAAAAGAATAAGCTTCCACCTGTGTCTCGAACCAAACCTTAAAACTCAGAATAGTAAAATTAAAGAGAACACAGCAGAGTTGGAGCAAGTGATCAAAGTTGTAAGGGGTTTCTTGTTTTTCGATATTTGGTATGTAAAGTGGCAGAGGTGTTGTCATAGTGGAGGGACAAACGTCATGGCCAAAACCCATGTCCCAATATATGCCTACTTGTCACTGAGAGGGTTTATAAGCTTATTTACTTGAGATATTTTAACTTAATTATAATTTGATATATAATTTATTAATTATTTATAAATTAACTATAATTTAATAAGAAATAATTGATACACACACATCTCTCTCTGCCCTATTTTTCTTGTTTAATCGTCTCTACTTCTCTTCTCATTTCTTTTTCAGAGAATTCAACAATAGATTTCACCATGCTATACCAGCTATTGTCCGTTAGCCATACTCTCTACTATTCACAATCATTAAAAAGTTACAAAGCTTGATTTCGAATTCAGATTTTTTAAAATTAATTTTTTTGGATTGAGTGTTATTACAAATATTTTAGAATATTTTTTGAAATTTACATCTCAATTTAGAGGGTGTTTCGTGAAAATTAAAGTTGATTTTGGCTGTATTTTCAGATTTGAAGATTGTATTTTCAAAATTATATTAAATTTGTATGAAAATTGTATTTAAGTTATATATTATTGCAGTTGTTTTACTTGTGTATGAATATCATATGAAAGTTATAAATTCGTTCTATACGGTATGAATAGTTGTGTGAAATTTGTATTAAAGTTATAAATACTCTCTTTTAGGTGAAGTTGTATAGATGTATCAAAATTATATCAAAGTTGTAATTATAAAAAATAAGTAATAACAAAAGGGATATTTTCATACTATCTCCTAGCTAGTGGAACAAGAAATACATGTATGGTTTACTTATGTAAACCAATAAAAAAATGAGAAAAGAAATATAAAAAGCAAAAATCAAAGTCGAGTCTTATGTCAGATTTTCTCAAAATTTTTTGAGAAACGTATTGAATTTTTGAAAGAGTTTTCATAATGCTATACTTCAATTAAAGATCGAGTCAAAGGAGAATATTGTATGAAATTTGTATAAAAATTATATTTTAGTTGTAATTGTATTATTTTTATATGAATATTATATAAAAGTTGTATTTTAGTTGTAATTGTACATATGTATCAAAATTGTATTAGAGTTGCTTTATAATTGCACGAAAATTATATTTAAGTTGTATGCTTGTTGATTTTGTAAGACTATTAGTTGAGTTGCTTAAATAGATACCATTCACATTTATTGTTTCTGGCATATAACTGCCACTAATTTCTCGTCAATATTCTATAAAATTTAAAGACTTTACTTTTTTGTTTTTAAAAAATATTTACGTTTTCAATTGAGCTAGCCTATTATAAATTATGTACACATTATTCCTCTTCTCTATATATCTCAATCTTTTCATGACAAAAATACCATGTCAAACGACACGTTTGATATAATTTGTCGTTACCACTACAATTATGTATTTTGGATGTTAGTTGAAAAATAAAAAAAAGGAAAGACATTAATAATGGATTGAAATTTTTTTTAAGGGGGAATGTATACAATTTGTAAAGAAAATCAAGTCAATTTTGAGAAATATCAAAACTTAATTATTTTGGATAAAGAATTTGATACTTATTATGTCTATAAAAAATCTCTTTAAAAATCCCAAACTTNGGGGATATGCAAGAAATTTCAAGGTGTCCTCCTCAAGGACATGTGTTTCAATTTTGGCTCAGTTAAGAAAAAGAGTGCAAATAAGATAACTGCCATGGTTTGTGCTCCTTCCTCCTTGTTCTTCATCTTTTTTATGATGTGCTGTAAAGAATTAAAGATCCATTACTTTTTTGTGATTGATTTTGATTGGTTTGGTTGTAAAAATATTCTAGGGATTTGTTGAGTTCGGAAGAAAACAAAGTGGATCTATTGATTTTTTAAGGTCCGGATTGGATCTGGCCATCGGATAATCAGAATTGGTATTAGAATGTTGAATTTAAAGCAAAAATGTGTTCGTAAAATTTCTCAAAAAACTTATGGTGATCCTTTAGGAATTGTGAACATTTTGTTCCAAAGTTATAATACTACTTATACTAAATTCTTTGTGATTCACCGGGACTTGTGCATGTATGGGTCAAAATTCAGTTTTAGTCGAAATAGTGCTAAGTGAAACATTCTTGTGATGCCGCGCGTCGAAATGATCTAATTATCAACGAAGGTCGTGGTCGAAGACTTAGCGGGATGTGTTGAAAGAATCATTGAAGTCGAAGTCGCAGAGTCGTCATCGAGGCCGAGATCGAGCATCCTTAACAGAGTTATAACGACTAGTTTCATGATAGGACATTAAAGAGAATATTCTAGTGGATACTCTCTTCACTTGTACTATTAGGGTTTCCTATGAGCATTTTTCCTAGAAATAGAAAAAGACACATTGATAGGGGGCATGTGATATTCATTTGTAAAGAACACACTTTGACTTAAAGATTCGGCTCTCACTTACTAAGATACAAACATCACTTTTTCACTGAGATTCTTGTCCATACTTTTTCACTAAATCCGAGAATAACTCTAATTTTCAAGGAATTGTCTATCATTCATCATTGTCATCATTGTGAGGAAGAACATTCATTTATTTCATCTTTTCTTGAGTGACTTATTCTCTCTATTTACTTAAATGTCATTTATTGCTATTCATTGTTATTAAATGCAATATTATTATTTTTGATTTGCGGGATATTTATTATATATCACTGTTACTGACCAACCACATTTGCGTGATATTTGTTGCTCCTTTAAGAACCTCATCTAAGGATATTATTATTAGCTAAAATTAACCCCTATTTACATAAATTTAATTATTTGAACCAATATTTATATTTTTTGATCAAACAGTGCAAGTACATCAATTAAAAACTCCTGGTCATTGGCTAGGATTTATGAACATTTATTATAAAGTTACAACATAATTAAATCTTTGAGATTTGTCAGGACTTGTGGCAAGCCCATCCACCCAGAACTCCTGATAATCCACTATAATTTTTTTGAACTAAATCATGGTGATCAACCATGAGTTGTGGCAAGGTAAGTCTTATATATACTGATCCCAGGGATTGAGCTCCAACTTTCAGCATGGATGTTTCTGCACAACTTTTTTATATGAGGTCAAAAGTTAAATAATGGCACCATAATAGCCTATTTGTGTAATCCTGAAAATGTGAGTCGAAATAGCGCCTACTAGCCACACTATAGCTATTTCTATTTATCTACAACTTGTATACAAGTATCTCTTTGTTGCAAAATTTACCATTGGCAACTTGTCTTTCCTCGACTTTTTTCTCCCATTGTAACGACCCGACTTGTCGTTTTAAGAAATTACATCCCGTCCAGTGATTTAAGGTTTAGAAAAGTTTCACAATATGTATTATGACCCGCGTGTGTGGTCGAGTTTAGTTTTCGAAAGATTCAGAATTTAATTAAAAGAAAAATTCTCATTTTGAAGCTTAAATGGAAAGAGTTGACCGGGGTGTTGACTTTTGAGAAAACGACCCCGGAATGGAATTTCGATGATGGCAATAGCTTCGTATGATGATTTCGGACATAGGCGTATGTTCGGATTTGGATTTGGAAGTCCGTAGGACAATTCGACACATTTTGGCGAAAGTTGAAAAATAGAAGATTTTTGGAAAATCCTACCGAAGGGTGAATTTTTGATAACGAGGTCGGATTTTGATTCTGAAAATTTGAATAGCTCCATTTCGTCATTTATGACGTGTGTGCAAAATTTGAAGTCATTCTGGATTGATTTGATACGTTTCGGCGCAAAATATAGAAGTTGGAAGATTTGAAAACTCAAAATTTAATTTGACGCATGATTCGTAGTTTCGGTGTTGTGTGATGTAATTTGAAACCCCGAGTAGGTCCGTATTGTGTTACGAGACTTATTAGTAAATTCGGACGAGGTCACGGGTAGCTCGGATGAGTTTCGGACGAGGTTTGGATCGAATTTGGACTTGTTGAAAATACTGGGATTTCTGCTGTTTCTGGGCAGGCCTGTTGGAATCGCACTTGCGAAAATTTGAGCGTAAGTGCGACCATCGCAGAAGCGAGATGAAGCTCGCAGAAGCGAAATTGGCTGGGCTGGACTGAGGCTGCAGGTGCGAAGAATTTCCCGCACCTACGTGAGCGCAGAAGCGGAAGCTCTTCCGCAGGTGCGAGGGCAGCACCAGTGGACGTCGCAGAGGCGAGAATTGGCTCGCAAAAGCGAGCTCGCAGGTGCGGCTAAAATGTCTGTAGGTGCGGAATCTGGGCAGAACATTTAGGACCAAAAATGGTCATTTCGCCATTTTTCGTTTGGGATTTTTGGAGCTCAAATTTGGGCGATTTTGGAGGGATATTTCACAAGCTTGGTTGGGGTAAGTATTCTATACCTAAAGTATCTATATTTCATGAATCCATAATTATATTCATCATTTAATTCGGATTTAAATGGAAGAAATCAAGATTTTTGTAAAATATTCCAAAAACAATAATTTAAGATTTGGAGGTCGAGTTGTTATTGGAATTCGATAAAATTGGTATGGTTAAACTCGTATCGGAATGGGTGTTCGGATTTTATGAAAATTATGTCGGGTTCTGAGAGGCGGGTTCCGCGTTGACTTTTGTTGACCTTTTGGAATAAAATTTTAAGTCGACGTATTATTATCCAGAATTATTTTCGATTAATTTTAATGAAGTTATACAATTAATTTGGATAGATTTGAGCTGTCCGGAGGTCAATTCAAGCAAGAAGGCTATTTTAGAATATCAGCCTAACTTTAAAAAGATAAGTGTCTTGCTTAACCTCGAGTAGGGGAATTACCCCTTAGGCATTGAGTCTTATGTGCAATTTGTGTAATTCGAAACCATGTATGCGAGGTGACGAGTACGTACTTGATTTATATGTGTTTCATTGATTAAAAAATTCTTAGACGCCCTTATGTATTAAATTGTAAATTATTGGCACTCATTAAATCCCCTATTTGTCATGCCTAGATCCTTGTTTGTTGAAAGTATTTTTACATGATGATTTGGTATGATTGCCACCTTGATTTTTATGTAAAATATTATTTTGTTGAGTTGTTTCCTTCCGGA